CTTTCTAACCATAGACCGGTGACGGTGCCCTTCTTTAGTATTTAGTATGATGATCGGTCATGTGCTATGGAAGAGCTTTGTTTCGAAACAGCCACTCCTCACTGTTAAAGAATCACGCAACTGAAGGTAAGTACTCACTGAAGTACTCACAGTGGACCTTCACCAGGTTGATCATAGTGAGTTGCTTAAATACCTTATGCATGATGCGTTATCCATTCACCGGATGCATTGCAACTAGATTACGGGAAAAAATCTCCATGCTAACGTCAATAAATGCGTTGAAGACGCCCACCAGGAGGCTGATAGCCTATAGACGACGCGACTCGATGAACTTTGCATTCTAACTACGTCGACAGAATTCGGATGTCAGCTGCATTACTTGTCTTTCGTGTTTTTGTTGCACACACGTGAGATGAGTACTACTTTGTGAGCAGACTCTAAACGCACCAGTAGCGCAAGAAAAAGTTGACGCAGTATTCAGAGATTTATAGTCGCCGGAAGGATGTTTCTGCATGTACTCTGGAAGGCTACTCGACACAGTTGCTGTGAGTAATTTTGTGAGAAATAGTCCTGTGCTGATAACAACTATTTTTGGTCAAGTAAATGTGTTTGATTGACTGATAAACTAATTGGTAACAAGGTAGAGGATATTCACGTTGCAATGACAACGTGTCGCAGATATTGTAAAATTACGGCTCACTTGACTTTTATAGTAATGGGTTCTTTTTTAACTGCTGAAATGTTTTGTCGGTAGTGTTTGTAATTTTTTGTTTTTACTGTTTTGATTACATCGAAGCTGAAATCAGCTCTTCGTCATAAGTTTCATTAAATGCATGCCATCGATGGTCTTGTGGTAGACTTGTATGGGAAGTTTAGTTTATTTCCAACGTTTACAAACTTTCTTTGGTCTTCTTTGTTTGAGGGAGAATGGCAGGAGCACGATATGTGTAAAAATTCAAGCGGTGTAGTGGTTTAATCTAGCCGTTTCTACGTATTAGCTTATTTGTAACCTTGTTGCAGAGCAACAGTTAAACTCTAGTTATCTTAAGTCCTACTAAATATGCTAGAAACCTACGATAATTGTTCTGATTTATAACATATGAGATGCCATGGTTTCCTCACATAATAATCATAATCGATTGTGCATCTCGGTTTTGGTTATTGTATATTTTTAATATATTTTGCATATTGCAGCCAGTTATATTATGATAATCACCAGCAACTGGCAATCAATTTGGGAAAGGCCGTTAACGAATGTCGGCCTTGTCCTCCTTCGGACAAGTTGTATCGAATGATCAGTGCCTTTGAAAAGATTGAAAATGGTGATTATATATGCAGATACAATGCTGAGAAGGAAGTACTAATCGGGATGTTCTTTAGCGGAAAATAAGGACAAGGACCAGAATCAGTTTCTGAACGAAAGTCCTTCAACCGGATTGGACATGGAATATGACGCGTATATTCTTCCGACGACCCCTGAACCGGCGTTGTACGAAACGATTTTCATCACGTCCCACAAAGAAGCGTGCAGAGCTTGTGCGTTTAACGATGATGGTATAGATTTAATTAACGGCTTTTGAATATCGCTTATTTTGGTGTTATACCGCTGATTTATGAAAAATGTGTGTATATCAGTAATGTGAGCAAACCCTTCTTAGGGATTGGATCCTGCGGTTATTAGTTCTATGCAGAAAGATGTTTCTTTCTGCTTAAGCACTTGCATGTATGCAGATTGCAACAGCCAGAAAACTATTAAGTAATACGTGCAAAAAAACTACAGACGGTTCTTTAAGTGTGGAGGATTCACGAAAGTAAAAATTAAGAGGGGTACCAGTGATTTTCTGTGCAACTCAATTCTTGTTTCCGATATGATGCAATTTTATTGTGTAGTGGGACCCCAATAGTGACAAACTGTTGCTCCGGTTCAGTGAATGAGAAAGAACTATGTTTAACAGTCCGCACAATGGTCATGGGCGATGAAGCCGTATTGCAGTTTATACAATGCCGCGGAGCGCAATTTCAGCCCCTTTTAAGGCTCGAAAATAAACTGGAGGGGCATAAGTGACAGTTGGTATTATACAGGTAAATTTAAAGGGGCTCAACGCAGCCGTAAGCGGTAGAGGTAAAGGTAGCAACCGTAAGGTCGCTTTCCTCAACTTGGTGATGAAGTAAACCATGTAAACATTCCACTTTAATGTGTTATGAGGACCACATTAACCTACTTCATATTTTAACCTTGGTGGCAGGTGTCTGGGTTGCATAAATTGTTTCTGGAGCAACTCTGATCAAGTGATGTTGCTGCCTCTTTAGAGGAATAGAAACACACTGCACACTCTTGCTCTGATTTATCCAGCGTAACGGTTTTTTATGTGCTCTTAAATTCTTCGACGTCTTCGTGATTTCTGACAACTGCAGCTACAATGACGTTACTGCTACCCGCATGTTCCAAGCGCAGTCGCGGTTGTCCAAGTCTAAAGTTGTCGCTGTATCGAATGGACAGTAGTTTGAAGGGAAATGAAACTTGGGGTACGCAAAGATTGTTAGGCAGCTGTTGTTAATTAGTACGGGTTTAAGAACACAAATTGATGCCGTGGTCAGTAGAACACGGCCGTTAGTCGAAGTGTCAGCGAGGGTAGGTAATAACTTCTCCCTTTGGGTGGTATCGAATGCCGATGAAAAGTCAAAGAACGTCGTCTTATGCATTCTTTCTTCCTTACAACTACGCGTTGTACTTTAATATGCAAATGGGTCCATTTTTCCTCCTATTCTGAAGCTGAATTTTAGACAATTTTGAGATCGGTCTAAGGAAATTAAAGAAAAGCAGTTGTGAATGGAAGGTGTTTCACAAATCTTCCGCTCGCTGACAGTTACAACCACAAGTATAGCTGAAATTCTTGTTGGGTGAAGAATAATACCAGAACAGAAGAGGAGGAAAACGAAGAAGGAAATTAAATATTTAAAACTTCTCCGAACTTTTTTTGCCTGACGTGGGAAATTGTTCTTTATTTCAAAAGAACCTCAGAAATACCCAATCGATCGTAGCCATTCCGATATTGTAGTATTCATTAATTTTCAGTAATTTTTTCTAAAAAGTATTGATACTGTACTATACTTGGGCTTAATTGCATATGCAGTGAAAAGTTATTTTCTATTATGAATACGTGTTCCGTCTTGACATTCTTACTACGCTGTTAGCGCATTTAAGTATGAAAAGCGTGCTTTTTACGATATGGGACTGGGAGAATTTTATGCTTCATAAGGCTTGTTTAAGATAGTTTTATTGAAATACTGAAGCCGGATTAGAATGTTTCAGGAGGTCTTCAGTTTTATTATTGCATTACCAAACAACAGTTGGATAATTGGTTCCAGGTAATGATAGGAGCGACCACATTGTTACTGTTTCGCCAAAATTTATAACAACCATAGAACTGCCGTTTCTCAAAATGTGCAACGTTTGAGGTTTGTTTGGGTTGTAGTGCTGATTCGTTTCAGAGAGAACGGCCATTTTCCTGATTTTTCTCAAGATTGACTGATTAGAGTCTAATTGAAATACAGATGTTTTCTGTCGTTAATTTTCGAATCACTTAAATATATCAGTTTCTATGAGCAGCGTCGGCTGAAAGCGCAAAATACGTGGTAGAGGTCTCTCGTAGAGCACACCAAATCGCTGTTGACGCAATTACGTCTGCTAGATGAACGAACTGGCGAGTGGTACCTTCAGGCATGACAGATTGAGGTTACTCAAACGGTAGAATGTTTGATTCAGAACCCAGATGATTCGGGTTGCGCCCCGATCAGGTTGCTCACTTTTCTTCCATCCGAGGTCGATAAATAAGTATCACCCTGTGGGAAGGAAACAAAAGGCTACACATCATGCATGCCACCACATAGCTGTGCTGATTTTGCCTTTAAAGAATAATGCATTCCTGACTGATAGCACAGAAATAGTGATGGCCTTGATCATGAGGGAAGTAAGAAAGCTGACTCTCCAGCGGTTGCAAACTTTCCTTCTGGCTTAATTTTTGACATGCCGCTCTCCAAATAACCATGGTGAACAACAGCGCATCGTATAAAGGCTATTTTCGCAGGAAGTCTGGTGGCTAGCGGCTCAGCGGACGCTTCGATCAAAATAATGGACGTGGAACGAATGATTGCGCGTGAAAATCTGCCGCCTGAGATGGAGCAGTCAAACGTCAACTTAGAACT